AGTTGTTTAAAAAGTATTACTTGATATGAAAAGGTTTATATTATGGTAGAAAGAAGTGGGTGGTTGTGGTGAAAAGCTGAAGAATACGTATAAATGAATGAGAAAAGGAAATTATTTTATGCTTGATGTAAATCACTTGAAAATTGTCTAATTATCTTGTGATTTGACATGAAGGTGGGTGTGAGTGTGGATGTGTTGGGCATGCCATAATCCAGATTTTTTGTTGGCTAAGGCACTCATGAAATAGCTGTTACTCTGTTGTATTTGTTCTGGTGACTGGAAGGTCGTAAACGCAATGCAACCATCTATTTAGAACTGTAATACTTAGTGTTGACGAATGAAATGATGCGCGTAGATGTGAATCTCTAGTTCACCCACATTCACATTATCACCTAGACCCATCGATACACCTATCCACTATAATACTTCTAATATTAGCGGCAATAAGAAAAATATCACATTTGACTTAGAAAAGACTGGCCACGAAATGAGAAAATAGCGGACAATCTCCCATATGTATGAAACCCATACTAAGCCAATAGTTCATTCACAACAAACTATCAATCGCATTCGAAAAATCAAACCTGCCAATCACAGTACGTATTCCATCCGTACTCTTACAGTCAATGCTCAGCCCCTGTTCAGCTTCAATAGTTAAAGTACGATAATTGCACCACTCGAAGAGATACACAGTTATATGACCATCTAATAAGACTTTTATGTAAGGTCGACACGTGTCATGGTTTGCTTGGCACATCTACACCCTGCAGCAACACTGTGCATCGAAACAAAAACTACAAATACAAGTAACCAACAATGAATCTTTCCATTTCAACCTTTTAAAACTCACATTTAGAAAAAAAAAATAAAGCTCAATTTTTCGATGTCAAGTCAAAGAGCAACTACTTCGCAGCGAACAGCAAGCGTCATTTTCAGTAACACTCATATACATGTCACAATATCGTTAACGATTCAACAGTCAATCTTCATTCATCGCCGAAGTCTTCAACTATTGCACCAAAGCATACAGGAAACCACGATAACTTCTTATAAGCACGTGGTTCACATTAACATCTTCAACATCTGCAAGAAATTGCATGGTCTGATGAGGCTTCTTATCAACGAAGTCAAAACCGGTCATGGCTACTCGTACTCGCCTTCATCCTCAGAATATTTATACAGAAACAAATATGTTTATGGACATTTGTATGAACTCAGCTCTTAAGATTATTGAATAATAGTATAAATTACATTATTCTCTTTTTTGCGTCTTTCTCATACCACTCAGAAATCGTTCACGATCCTACACAATCAGATTGGAAGATTTTTTTAGTGTACTATTCGGATGGAAAATGTTAATATAAATTTAGATTTCATTATATGAAATAAAAATGAGTTTAGATTAATGAGAAACAACGTTTTTATTTCTTTTAGAACCAATTACTAAAAGTAAATTGTTGAAGAAATAAATCTTTATTAGGTAAAAATTCAACAGCAATAATTTGCATATCATTAATAAAATCCAAACTATGTTCTGAATGAATATAATGTCCTACTTCATAGCATGTAACCATAAAATAAAAATTGATTAATTTATTTAAATTTGGACTAGGTAATCATAAAAGAGATAGATCAATGTTATTGGTAAAAACGTGTTCAAAATATCGAAGATTAAAGAAAAGTGAATCATTTCCATTGAAAGCAATCTTATCTCGATAGAAAAAATCGTTTATAGGTGTAAAATTTATCATGAATATATTTACTTCCATTAATATCTTGAAAGAGATTCATCGTTTTAGTCGGTATTTCGATGATATGAGAAGCAAGACTTACAAGTAACCAGGTAAATTGTTCAGCTCGATGTTTCATTTGTTCAGTTACCTTGATATTTTGCTCCACAAAAAGTGAAATTGAATAAAATTTGCCAACCTTTGTCAAATTAACAGTAGACATTGTTTCACGGACACTAGAAATATGTTCTTTGATATAACTGGAATTCGAGATTTAGGAAATTTTCAGCTGTTATGTTTAAATGCAAACATTATATTTCGTATGTTTCTTAAATAATGTTTTGCAATATCTGGATTATGAACATGATTATTAAGCTGTGCTTTGGGATGATGATGATTATCATTAAATTCATTATTAGATTGCCTAAAAGATGTTACAAAACTAAAACAATAATAGAAATAGAAGTTTTATTCTTAGTTCTGACATAATTATAATCGTAATAATGTTTAAATTAAACAAAGAAAATTTTTTTTTTTCATAGTCGATAACTAGGTGTTTTGAAAGCAGTGATGTCAATCTTTTCTTTATTCATCGTCATATTACATCAACTATTCTATGAATGAAATATAAGACTTCGTTGAATTCTATTTCGATACGAATTATTTATCTTTTCTCTTCTCTATTGATGACTATTGAAATATTCTAGAAAGATCTACGCGTTTTAGTGTTTCAAGCAACGATGATAATTCAATAGTAATACCATCAATGATATCTTCTCTTGGTTTTTTTAATATAAACCCAACAATTCTTCATTTGAAATATCAAAATATTCAAACTTGGGTTCATTTTATCGGATAAAGAGTTTTTACTTCATGATCTGTATGTTCTAAGACACATGAACTTGACTGTGCTTAGTATAAAAGAAAAAAGGATGATTAAAAAATGACGTTTGTGATTTTTACATTAATACTTTTAATCTGATTTTGAAATCTTAATTAGCATTGAATATCATTGGTTTCGTAAACAGATAAATTTGTACGAAGCATATTAATATGATTTTCATTAACAAGATTCATTCTTTCACCCTATAAATAGAGAATTCTTTTTTTTTTTCGAAAGAACGAATACATATGTTTGGCAATACATACTCATTTGTTGACAAATAGCAAGTCAAGACTATGTTGAGTTAAATTAAACAGTTTATGATTACGTTTTAATTCTGTAAAGTTGCCTAAATAAAATTCAACTATGGTCATAATTTAGTAAATGTAAAATATAATATTACTTCAGTTTTATTTAGAAGAATTTTATTACAAGAATATATTATAAG